TACATTCTGATCAGGTGGTCGAGGGTGAAGGGCATCCCCTTAATCATGTTCGCGTAATATCTGGTCATGTAAACAAAGCGCCAAAATGAAGGATGAATTTGGCCAAGAGTCACTTGATATCGTTCACAAAAGTCGAGGATCACGGGGTCTATTGAAGGCGAGGATGGCTCCACCGAGCCAAGGGTGAATAGATAAGTATACACACTGAGGAAACCGGCCTTGTGTGTCGTTATGTCCTCCCCTCAGGAAGGAATCTCCACTAAACACCGCATCCTCTCAGCGACAGTCGGTCTTCACCCTTTCGGCGTCTGCTATAAAACTAATATATCAGGACACATGTTCGCATCGTCCCGACTTCGAGGAGAGTTTTTCGGTCTTAAAATTGGAGGTCATTTAAAAGGCTCCTGTAACACATTCCCCATTGACAGGGGGCTTTGATTCTTTTCCCTTAGACGAGCGCAAGGAAGAGGAAGGCACATCTTCCTGGGAGACAGAGGTGGAAGTTTTTCCCATTCTCATTAAAAGATTCTAGAGGAGAAATGAAAATTGCATTTCAGAAGAGAAAAAAAGAGAGAAGTAAAAGGGACTCTTTTAAGGACTTGGTGATGTAGTGGAAAATAAGAGGCGGAAGAAGAAGTATTTATAGAGATCTAACGTGTATGTTAGAGCGGACCAAAGGACAGCCAGCCGCTGTAATTAGTTCAGAGACTTTTAAAGGGCTGTATGGACGCGACCTTTAGACACCTTATTTTGTCACATCAATCGCTCGATAGGGCATAACTACCGTCATGATGGAAGTATCGAAGGGGAAAGGATCCGAAATCGTTTCTTATCATTTTTTACTCTAAGAAACGCGGGGACTATCTGTACGCGGCCAAAATCGGAGAGCCCAATTTTACGATCGTAATACCTTGCCGAAGTTTCATCTTGAAGGCCCGGGGCACAGCTCGAGGTTCGTCCCCAAGGATTCTTTATGACCGACCTCGGGGCAGCACAAATCGATGGTTACCGTGAACAAGCCGGAAGTTCCCAAGGCACGTGATCAAAGCTGACAAAACCTACAGGAGAAGCATTAGCCTGTACCAGACTAGAGAATAGTTATACTAGCTATATTTCTTTCTAATAATTACTCATGTACTATGTTGGGGTTTCCCCTCCTATATAAAGGGGACCCTTACCGTTTTGTAAGGGGAGGACAATAAATACAAGAACAAGAACATTCTCTGCTCTCTATTTTAAATATACTCTCATTTGATCTTATTACTTGCATTTATTGCTTATATTTATTGTATTTCATTGATTGTTCGTCATTTATAGCTCATTATTGATCATAAAGAGCCCTCATCAAGGCCCTTAGAACTGTTAGTTCTCCACCGACTGTTCAAAGCCTAACGCCTAGCTTGACCTCGAGGCCCCGTATCAGCCAGCTCGAGGCCCCGATTCTCAGCCACTCAGTTTGCTTGATACGTTACCTTCAAGCTCTTATCCTATTTTCTAGTCTCCCACTTAGCATCCATTGCTTAACAACTAGCATAAAAATAAATCACATATTTTTAGAACCACAAAATCATATCTAATTGTAATTACCATTTTCAAGCTAAACACTAGCCGAAGCTCCCGAACCAGAAGGGCTTGAGGCCACTCCGCCCCAAGATTGGAGATCGAGAGAGAGACCGGGGGCGACACCCCCGAGTAGAGGAAAGTTCCCTAAAAGACGTGCTCGGGGCGATCGACATTACCGAGTCTCCTTAGTTCTCGGATGCCATGATCCGTGAGGGGGATAAGTTAGAAGGTCGTTCTTACGAGGGGCCTCAGGGAGCGACAGATATCCATACCTTTCGGGATAAGTTTGAGTCCACTGCCTTCGGGGATGTCACTGGGTTCGGAGACTTACCGGTGCCAAATAAGGTATCATCGCCGGGAGCCAGTGGGTCTCTCTCGAGCATAAAATTGGTAAACCGGTTCCCGACCCCGAGTGTTGATCCTGACCGAAGACGGTCAATAGCTTTCTTTATCCCGGAGGATGCCCGGGTTTTCTCTGCCCCTGTGGGGGTTTCTAGCTACCTTAGTTGCTTGGTGACTAAGGAGGACCAGGCCGTAATGGACGTGGTGGAAGTGCTTTGCCTATTAAATGAGGCCCAACATGTTTTAAATGGGGTAACTTCGAGTGTCACTTCATTACTTATTTTGAATTTGAAGTTGTAAATAATCCTAACACCTTTCTTTGTGCTTGCAGGCCTCGGTGTTGCATCATGAGGCCTTCCTTCGAATCCGGGAGGAGTTAACCCAGCACGAGGTTGAGGTTCGGGAGCTCACTGAGAAAAGGGATACTTACAAGCTTCTGAGTGAGAAGCTTCAGGCCGAGTTAGAAACGGCTCAGAGTGAGCATGCCGAGATGGCCGAGCAGGTATTTTGAGTGCTTCACGATAGTGAGGGCGAATTGAAGATAGTGACTAACGATTCGATCCATTAGGTCCGGCAGAGGCTTGATCGGATCGGGCAGCTTAAGGCACAGGCAGATATGATTCAAGCTGAGGCTGAGGAGTTCAAGAAAAACATGGACATCTTAGCCTCGAAAAAGGAAGTTGTCCAAGCACAACTTGAGTCGGCCGAGACCCAGCTCGGGGCTGCAAAAGAGAAAGCCTTGGTGCAGGTCAAGAAAATTGAGGAGCTTCAATCCCAATTGGACTTGGCTATTTTTTATAAGGCAAACTTGGCCAATGAAATCGAGGTGGCCTAATCCGAGGTGGACATGGCCAATACAAAAGTCAATGCTAAAGTGGCCCAATACAAGGTCGACGTCGAGGACATCCACGCACAGGCCAAAAGCATGGTGGATCATGCAAGGTGACAAGCTCGAAGGGAAGCCCTCGAGCGAGTCCATGCTTAGGACTTTGATATACTGGCCGAAATCGAGAATGTCAAAGCAGAAGAAGCCAGGGCCTGGAATCTGGCCTTTCCCGAGGAAGATTCCGAGAGTTTAAGCGAGTCTGAAGGCGGGGAAGATCCTGAGGATGGAGATGTTGCCTCCAATGAAGACCATGCCACTTAGGCCTTTATATTTTTTTCTTTATTTTGCATCTTTTTTAGGCCGTTTCGGCCATTGTAAATTTTTGAACTAAGCCATTCTGGCCTTTGTAAAAAGATTATTAGGTAAATATACACAAGGCTTTCTTTTCCCTTTCGGCTTTCAAATTTTTCCCCTGCTTTATTACTTGTATTCACAAAGGTCAGAATGCCTTAGCATAAAATAACTTGGGTTGTGTAAGCTCGAACAATCACTGTCTTTACATTATTTTATTTTGAAGCGTCTCGGGGGTTCGGGGTTACCGGGAACTTTCTCCTTAGAACCGATAAGTAACTCAGGTAATATTTTGCCGAGAGTAGCCTTAGAACCGGTTATGGAAAATTTCTTTTTGAAGGCCTATCTCTTGTTACGGTTCTCAGACGTCTCCGAGCCGTGTAAATATGGTCATAGCCTTTTAGTTCGGGCATTGCCTAGTGGGCTTGCATTCCTGAGTTATCCGGGCTTGCCTACGATAACAGTCCCCAAGTGGGTATGGCCGTGGCCTTTAAAATTTGGGGGTTGCTTAAGAGGTCTTATGCCCCCGATGTTTAATAGTTCGATCCGTTCGAGTTTGTTTTAAGACGATAGTCCTCGAGTGAGGGAGTGATCATCCGAACTCTGGTTATAATCGGACCTTGAGTTTGTTTCCTTAAGAGATCGAAAGTATGAAATTCTTTAGGGGATGTAAAGAGGACAACAACAACAACATACCCAGTATTATCCCACACCGTGGGGTCTGGGGAGGGTAGTGTGTACGCAGACCTTACCCCTACCTTATGAGGATAGAGAGGCTGTTTCCAATAGACCCTCGACTCAATATAGTATAAGTACCACATTAATAAAAATATAGGCAAGAAGAGAAATTATCAAAAAGCCATATAAAAGCAAAATAACACAATAAGACAGTAAAGTGATCAGCAATGAAAGAAAACAACGGTTAGTCATAAAAACCTACTACCAACAGAAAACGAGACTGCGTGCCAATACTAAAGTTATGAACACTCTACACTACCTACTCTACTACCCTAATTCTCGACCTCCATACCTTCCTATCAAGGGTCATGTCCTTGGTCAGCTGAAGTTGCGCCATGTCTTGCCTAATCACTTCTCCCCACCTCTTCTTTAGCCTACCTCTACCTCTCCGTAGGCCCTCCAATGTCAACCTCTCACACTTCCTCAGCGGGGCGTCTGTGCTCCTCCTGCTCACATGACCAAACCACCTAAGTCGTGCTTCCCGCATCTTGTCCTCAATAGAGGCCACCCCCACCTTATCGCGAATAACCTCATTTCTGATCTTATCTAACCTGGTGTGCCCGCACATCCATCTCAACATCCTCATCTCTGCTACCTTCATCTTTTGGACATGAGCAATCTTGACTGGCCAACACTCAGCCCCATACAACATTGTTGGTCAGACCACCACTTTGTAGAACTTACCCTTAAGTTTTGGTGGCACCTTCTTGTCACACAGAACATCGGAAGCGAGTCTCCATTTCATCTATCCCACCCCAATACGATGTGCGAAATCTTCATCAATCTCCCCATCCCCCTGAATAATAGACCCGAGGTACTTAAAACTCCCTCTCCTAGGGATGACCTGCGAGTCCAGTCTCACCTCCCCTTCCCCTCCTAAAGTCTCCCTGCTGAACTTACACTCCAAGTATTCTGTCTTGGTCCTGCTCAACTTGAAACCCTTAGATTCCAGGGTCTGCCTCCATACCTCTAATTGCGCGTTCACACCGTCTCGCGTCTCGTCAATTAATACAATATCATCTGCAAATAGCATGCACCACAACACCTCCCCTTAGATGTGGCGCGTCAGTACGTCCATCACCGGAGCAAACAAAAATGGGCTTAGTGCTGACCCCTGATGCAACCCCATCATAACCGGAAAATGGTCCGAGTCCCCCCTCCCCCCCCCTACCGTCCTCACTCAAGTCTTTACTCCATCATACATGTCCTTAATCAATCTAATATAGGCAACAGGAACACCTCTAGCCTCCAAACATCTCCACAAAACCTCCCTCGGAACTTTATCGTACGCCTTTTCTAAGTCGATGGACACCATATGAAAGTCCTTATTTCTCTCCCTATACTGCTCCATCAATCTCCTAACAAGGTAGATGGCTTCTGTAGTCGAACGCCCAGGCATAAACCCAAATTGTTTCTCAGAAATAGTACACTCCTTCTCACCCTTAGCTCTACCACTCTCTCCCAAACTTTCATAGTATGGCTAAGCAGCTTGATACCCCGATAATTATTGCAATTTTGGATATAACCCTTGTTCTTATATACAGGAACCATCATGCTCCACCTCCACTCTTCGGGCATCTTCTTCGTTCTAAAAATGACATTAAATAACCTAGTGAGCCACTCCAAGCCCGCTTTGCCAACATTCTTCCAAAACTCCACCGGGATTTCATCCGGTCCCGTCGCTTTGCCCCTGCTCATCTTATGCATAGCACACTCAACTTCATCAACTCTAATCACCCTGAAATACCCAAAGCGACTCATCCATAGTCTCTCGGAGAATTCCAAATCACCTAGTAGAATGTTCCTGTCCCCCTCCTCGTTCAAGAGACTATGGAAGTAGGTCGTCCATCTCCGACGGATAAGCCCCTCATCCAACAAAACTCTACCTTTTTCGTCCTTGATGCACTTCACTTGGTCCAAGTCACGTGCCTTCCTTTCTCACTCCTTGGCTAACCTTAACAACCTCTTATCCCCACCCTCGAGTTCCTTATACAGCCGACTAAAAGCTGCAGTCTTTGCCGCCGTAACTACTAGCTTAGCCTCTTTCTTAGCCAACTTATAATGTTCCCTATTCGCCCTCTTCTCCTCCTCGTCTACACTTTCCGCTAGCTTCAGATACGTTGCTTTCTTGGTATCCACTTTTCCTTGCACCTTTTCATTCCACCACCAGTCTCTCTTGTGATCACCAGAGTTACCCTTTGAGACCCCTAATACCTTTCTCGCGGCTTCCCTAATGCACTGCGCAGTCATGGTCCACATAGTGCTTGCGTCCCCACTACTCTTCCAAGCCCCCATAGTCACCAGCTTGACACCCAACTCCTGCGCTTTAGCTTCCGTCAAGGCTCCCCACTTTATCCTATGTTGGCTATACATCGCCCTCTTCCTCTTCTTCCTCGTGATCTCAAGGTCCATGACCAGGAGCCTATAAAGGGTCGAGAGGTTCTCAATTGGGATGACCTTGAAATCCGTCCAAAGACCTCTATCGGACTTCCTACAAAGTACATAATCAATCTGAGTCTCGGCCACCGAACTCCGAAAGGTGACCAAGTGCTCCCTCTTCTTCGGGAAACTCGAATTTGTTATCACCAAATCAAATGCTCTAGCAAATTCCAGCAGAGACGTTCCTCCTTCGTTTCTATCTCCAAAATGAAAGCCACCATGCACATCATCATACCCCCAGGCGTCGCTCCAATGTGGGCGTTGAAATCTCCTCCTATGAAAAGCTTCTCGGTGTGCGGGATACCACACATCATCTCATCTAAGTCCTCCCAGAAACGCCTCTTGACTTCCTGATCCAAGCCCGCTTAGGGTGCATACACACTGATTATATTCAAAGTAAAACCACTAACAACTAGCTTAATAGTCATCAGTCTGTCATTCACCCTCCTAACCTCCACTACTAGTTCACGGAGGTCGTTATCAACCAAGATACCTACCCCGTTCGTGCCCCCCAACCTCCCAGAATACCAAAGTTTGAAACTGCCCACATATCGCGCCTTATCTCCTGCCACCTAGTCTCCTGTACACAAGCTATATTAACCTTCCTTTTCTCAAGAATCTTCGCTAGCTCTACAGATTTTCGAGTCAAAGTTCCTATGTTCCAAGACCCACTCTCAACCTAGTAGCACCCTTAACCCCTTTACCCCCCCCCCCCCGCACCCCCTTCCCTACGCTGACACCCCCGAGGACAAGACCTTACCCTACCATCATTCACTAAAGCCACTATAATCTATGAGTCACTATGCAAGCGCTATCCCGAAAACAAGCGACCAAAGATACAATGAATTACCAAAATAAATCTACCACTAAAGGTCACAAAGCCGATGAAGAAATAAAATAAAGGAACTAACGGGAACTATAAACTACCACTAAAGGTCACAAAACATGTGACGAAACAAACTAAAGGAACTAACGCGAACTCTAATCTACCACTAAAGGTCAGAAAAACGGGTGAAGAAATAAAACAAAGGGGCTAAAGGAACTATAATCTACAACTAAAGGATAGAAAAACATGTGAAGAAATAAAATAAAGGAACCAAAGGAACTATAATCTACAACTAAAGAATAGAAAAATACGTGAATGCACTAATTAAGAGTGCAGGTAATTAAAAGAACTAAAATCTACTGACTAGAATCCCAAAACAGTTACTATAAAAAAAGTAGACATGCAAATAAACTAATTAAGAGAACAAGTATACAATCAAGAATTAGGCTTAATCTATCCCAAACTAATTGGTTAACAAGAAAAATAGAAAGACTGATTGAAGAATAGGAGGTACCAACTCTCGAATAAAGTAAACAAGAGCGATGACACCAACATTGAAGACGGACTGCCAAATCAACTAGACCCCGGTTGAAAGTCACCTCGAGCCAAGATACCTGCCGAAAATCTAACCTCCCACTGCAACGACGACCACCCGAATGGAAAACTGCTCACCGGTGTCACACCTCCTTTTTTTCACACATACCCCGAAGGATAAATGTATAAGGGAGTTTTTCCATTTAAAGTGACATTATTCGAAATGTGATTATTTATTTGTTTTTAGAGTCGCCACTTGGGATAGGATTGGCTTTTGGTGTCCCAAGTCACCGATTTAATTTGAATCCTAAATCGAGGAAAAATTCGACTTCCCAATTGGAGTCTGCGAACCAGAAATTCTGAATAAGGAATTCTGTTGACCCGAGGGAAGGTGTTAGGCACCCCCGGATCCCGTGGTTCTAGCACGGTCGCTTAAATTATTATAATTGGCTAAAAATCTGATTTTAATACATGTTTTAACTTATAGCCTTTTATTAGTAACCCGCTTTTATTGTTATTTTTATAAGAATTGCAACGTCGTGAAAATGCATCTCGAACCACATCGCACCAATGCACCCGTGGTTGTCAACACATTTCGACTCCGATGAGATTTGGATTTGGGTCACATAAATGTCCACCCATAGTTAAGAAAGTAAGATTACTAAAAACGCGCCTAAAGTGACTAACGCGTTATTATCTTTGGGGAGGGTCATGAAATTCGCTAAACGGTCCATCCCGGATACTAAGTATCAATTCAAGATTAAATAAGGCGAGGGCCATGCAATTGTCATTTTTGTTTGGCATGGCGCACCTCGATTCTAGTTTTAAGAGAGAGTTCGAACTAAGTGTTTGAGGGCCATAAGTTATTTATGTCTAGTATAGCCCACCTCCACTATTTGAAAGAAATTAGTTGCCTAAACGCTAAGGGACTAGATTTCTACTCATGGTATACTGCTGGTTCAAATAAAAGGAGCAGCCCATGTTAGATTGCTGAATGGCCCAAATAAATATTAACTAACATTGTTGTGGACCTGGTATGTGAGACGCTGGGCTCCAGGTGAGCCCAATATCCGAATCTTAGAGATATCACAGATATTTCTCTATTTCGAACTTGGCCTAGTGATTAAAGGCCCACATCAAGCTGAAGCCCAGATTCGATTTTCAAGGCTTGGGCCAAATGCAAATCGATTACCCTTGAAGCTCAAACATACTAACTCTAATATTAACTCCAAATTCTACCAAATAATCTGAGAAGCTTTCGAGATAAACACAATTAATGTCTATTGTATAAATGGCTAAACTAACATTTATACCTTAACACCAATTGACACCAGAACATTGATGGTAAAGCATTCAACATCTTAGTTTAAGAGTATAGCAAAGAAGTTAAAGGCTCCGTACTAGACGGACCAAAACTCCATATGAGCTAACAACATACACGAAACAAGATAGTAAATACTACATATCCTCAACTCAAAACAATAAGGCATAAATCCAAACCAGTAGAGTGAATTACACATTTAGCAATCAGCATAATGAATTACAAGTCATTACTACTACATCATTCCATATTCAAAATAGATCAGTAGGAGACATAAGGAAGTTAAATTGAATCAGATGATTTTAAAAATGCAGAAACATCAAGCACACGATTGTGTGGTTATAAATCTCAACTTGGGCACACCAAACTAAATGTTCATCCTCTTTTCACACATAAGAAGGTGAGATGAATACCTGGGAATTTGAACACAAAAGAAAGATAAGGAGTCAGCCGTAATAGTCAATAATCAACAGCAATGGTTCAACATCCAGCAACAGCTTTGAACTAAATTTGACCCAGGACTGATATGTCAGCTGACCAAGATTAATTACAACCCATAGATCATCCAAAATAGCTCGAATACATCCAAAACAACTTGAATGAACCAGGATACTCCAGAACGACTTCACCAATCAAAACTCGAACTAAACAATGCAAATCCACACTACAACTTGAAGCTGAGCTAAAATTGCAATGAAACAGTAGTATATTTTTTAGGTTTTTGGTTTTCTATTGTTTTTAGGTTTTGTATTTTTGAATTTCGAATTGAAAACTGAAAATTATAAGAAGAATGCTATTCCTGATGGCTGGGATCTCTGGGATTTCATAGGCTGAAAGCTAAAAAAACCTCCTTCTCAAGGCAATTCAATGCCTATTTATAGGCAAACCCAAAAGTGCTGGAAGCTTCTCTCACTTACCCTCCCCTGAATAAGACCTAAATGTCCACATGTGACCTCCCTAGTATAATTTATTCCTGTTTGCTGATTCCCCAAACTGCCCTTACCCCTTCCTTGAACTAAAACAAGTAATTAACCGCCCTAATTCCATTTCGCTTCTGATTAGCCAACGACTAGTCTTAATTAACTACCATTAACCCTAATCTAAAGACCAAGAAACGATTATAAGCAAAACATGACTAAAATAACGGTAAAAAAAATCAGAAGTTAAACGTTATAAACTAAAATCTAAACTTCAATATGCAGAATAACAAAAAAATGACAAAGAAATTAATTAAGAAAAAATGAAAAAGAAACTTACTAATAATAAGAACTCCGGCCAGCCGCTGACGTCTGAATCTTTCAAGATTTTTGACACGTAACATCCCTAACCATGTGTTTTCACAAGAAAACACCTGGTTAAGGATATTACGGTCCAAAATCACAAAGATTTTGGGTTAGGGTTCTTGGCCGGAAAATTAAAAAAAAACAAATTCGAATCGTTCCGGCCAGATTCGAGGAATATGGTTTGGGTATTAGGGACGAGAAGGTTAAGGCGAGTCTATGGTGTAAATTTGGGGTCATTTGGCGTAGGTGACGCACTGGCCGGAAAACTTTAAACGGATATTCGAAGCTTTCTGTGTAGATTCGAGGTATAGGAATATGGGGAATGGAAATAGGAGGTTGGGGGGAGTCAATGGTGTTAGTTTGGTGGCCGTCGGCGTAGTTTGCGTCTTCGCCGGCGGCGAGGTTGACGGAGGGTATTAGGGCGGCTAATCTCTAGGGTTTGGGAGGTTAGAGAAGGCTAGGGGGGTCTGAAGGGGGGTGGGTATGGTTCGGACATTTAAATACTAAGTGATGGGGGGGTTCTCAACCGTTAGATCAAAAAACCTAGATGGTTGAGATTGAATCTCCACCAAACGGCGTCGTTTGATTTATTTAGGGGCTGGACCTGGTTGGGGGTTTGGGTTTGGACCAGGTTGAACGGTATCAGGGGTTGGGCTGGTATGGGGCCTGTTTGGACGGGTTCAGGGGTGTTCATTGTTTGGGCCTGGGTGATTTGGCCCAATTCTTGGCAGCCAATTCCTTTCTTTATTCTTTTAATTGTTTTCTTGTATTTTATTTACTTGCTTTTGTATTTTATTTTTTGTATTTTTGTATTTATTTATTTTTTTTTCTGATTTTATAAAATGCTAAAACAAAACAAAAACCTAATTAAACTATTTAACTTCTAAATATTATTTAAAACTCTACATTTAAAGATAAATGCAACAATTAACAATTAAAAGTGCAAAGAAACTATTTTTTGCAATTTTCTTTAAATTTGTTCTAAAGCTAATTAATACCTAATTAATACTAAAATTATGAAATTAAATCCCTAAATGCAAATGCATATTTTTGTATTTTCATATGAATAAAAGTGCAACCAATTAACACAAAAATTTAACAAAATTTCACAAAAATTGTAAAATAATTAAGAAATCAATTATTCGAAACTTTTGGAATTAATTTGCTTAGGGAAAAAATCACGTGCTCACAACCGGAAAACTGCCTGACCTGAATTCCACAGCCGACGCTGGTAGTTTGCGCCAACAATCTGATCGTAGAACCTATTCACAAACACACCACACACAGGATGCGAGGGGAGGAGAACACCCGCAGAGCAAAAATGCGGCGATGATTCCGGCGTTGGTGGCTCGTATACCGTAGAGAGAATGTAAGACGTCGATAAGATGTAAAGAGGAAACTTTTTGAAATATAAGATAATTACAAGGAAAGTTCTTCTCTTTATTCTTGTGAACAACAATTATACATGTATACACGTTTTATGCCAGGGCTCAAGCAACCTATGTGGGCACGGATCCTTGACTGTTTGTCCCATACAACAAATCCTTCCTGTCGAGACCCTTCTATTTCGAAGTAATTTCCTCGCAAAAGTCGTCATTCGAGGGTAATGCCCCACACTATTTGAGGTTGAGTGTAGAGGAAACTTGGATACTGTTAATGCTACCTTCGACACCAATTCGTGATCGTCCCTTGATTCTAAGTTAGCACGATCCACTGTTGCCTCGTTAAAAACCTTGCCGAAAAAACCAATTGGGATAACAGGTTCAAGGGAAAAAGAGTGCAACGCGTGCTTTCAGACCTAAAGACTTCGTGTCGCTCCTTGTCGGCTACGTGCAAGTGTTAGTCCGAAAGTAAAAAGAAATGAAATGGGGTCTTACCTTAGCATTAATATTGTTTTAGGTGAGTTACGTTCCAATTGTTCGGTATTTGTTCTCCATTTATCATTTCGAGCTTATACGATCATTTCACTGTGACCTCGAGAACCTGGTATGGTCCTTCCCAGTTCGGACCCAATTTCCCTTCGTTCGGATTTCGGGTGCTTAGTGTGACCTTCCTTAGTACTAAGTCCCCCGATATTGAAGTGTCAAAGGTTAGCCCTTCGATTGTAATACCTCTCGATCCGAGCGGCCAATCGAACAAGGGCAGCTTCACGTCTTTCATCCAATAACTCCAGGATTGTATTCATGACTTCGTCATTTGATTCCTTTCTTGTGTATCAGAATCTAATACTTGGCTCCCCGACTTCGACTGGTATTAGAGCTTCGGCGCCAAAAACCAAAGAGAACGGGGTAGCCCCAGTATTGGATTTTGAAGTTGTGCGATATGCCCAGGTACTCCGTTGAGTCCTTAATACCTTCCAAGCAATTATTAAAACAACTCAACTCAATCTACCATAGCATAAGGAGATTCAAAATCAATGTTGAGTAAAGGCTAAGTCTCCAACTTAAACTAGTAGCTCATTTATGTAAATTTGGGTAGCATCTTCCCTGTAACATGGGCTTCCATTTTACCTTGGCAACGATCAACCTTTTCTTAAGGTTTTGGATTATGGTTTGGTTGGTCGATTCGGCTTGTCCGTTCCCACAAGGGTGATAAGGTGTCGATAAGATCCTTTCGATCTTATGATCTTCGAGAAACTTGGTCACTTTGCTACCGATAAGCTATTTCCCGTTGTCGCATACAATTTCGGATAGCATCCCGAACTGACATATGATGTGGTCCCAAATGAAGTCGGTGACTTCTTTCTCCCTGACCTTCTCATATGGTTGTGCTTCAAACCGCTTAGAAAAATAGTCAGTCATAAATAGGATAAATTGAGCATTACCCGGTGCCGATGGAAGAGGGCTGACGATGTCCATCTCTCACTTCATGAATGGCCATGGCGATAAGGCCGAGTGCAGTAGTTCCCCGGGTTGATGAATCATCGGAGCATGTATTTGGTATTTATCATATTTTTGTACGAACTCCTCCGCATCTTTTTCCATATCGATCCAGTAATAATCGGCTCTAATTACCTTTTGAACCAATGATTTGGCGCCTGAGTGGTTCCCGCAGGTGCCTTCGTGGACTTCCCACAGAACATACTCTGTATCTCCCGGTCCCAGGCATATTGCTAGCGGGCTATTAAACATTCTCATGAGCAAGGTTCCGTCCTCGGACAAGCTAAATCGGGCTGCCTTTATGCGGAAGGCCCTCGATTCCTTTGGATCTGAGGGAAGTTTCCCGGTCTTCAAATACTTTACGTATTTATTACTCCAATCCCAAGTTAAGCTTGTGGAGTTTATTTTGGCATGACCTTCCTCTACTACCGACCTCATGAGTTGTATGACTGCCCCCGAATTGAGCTCATCGTCTTCGACCGACGACCCTAAGTTTGCAAGTGCATCGGCCTCACTATTTCGATCTCGAGGCACGTGCTGCAAAGTCCACTCTTTGTACCGATGTAATGTTACCTGTAACTTGTCTAGGTACCTTTTGCATTTGTTCTTCTCTGACTTCGAACATTCCGTTAACTTGGTTTACTACAAGGAGGGAGTCGCACTTAGCTTCGATCACCTCCGCCCCCAAGCCTTTAACCAGTTCGACACCTGCAATCATGGCCTCATAATCGGCCTCATTGTTAGTTAATTTTACAGTTCTAATAGATTGTCTAACTATATTGCCTATGGGTGGCTTCAGTACGATGCCAAGTCCTGACCCTTTTACGTTCGAGGCACCGTCCGTAAAGAGGGTCCAGATTCTTAAAGACAATCCTGAGTTTACCAACAACTCTCTTTCGACTTCAAGTATTAGAGCCGGCGTAAAGTCGGCCAAAAATCTGCCAAAATTTGAGATTTAATGGTTGTTCGGGTTGATATTCGATATCATACCCGCTGATTTAAACTGCCATTTGGCCAATCGCCCCGAGTGTTCGGGTTTATGCATTATATTTCGTAAAGGGTAAGTTGTCAGAACACATATAGAATGGTACTGAAAATATGGTTTCAGTTTTCTAGAGGCACTTAGCAGAGCGAGCGCCAATTTTTCTAGGTCAGGATACCTAGTTTCAATCTCACCTAAGGTCCTGCTAACATAATAAATTGGAAATTGCGTACCTTGTTCTTCCCGAACTAGAACTCCACTTACCGCTATTTCTGATACTACTAGATACAAGTACAGTCGTTCTTCTTCCCTCGGCGTGCGAAGCAATGGCAGGCTCAATAAATACCATTTAAGTTCCTCTAAGGCCCGTTGGCATTCCGGGGTCTACACAAAGTCGTTTTACTTCTTCAGAAACAAGAAAAATTGATGGCTCTTATCGGAAGACCTAGAGATTAATCGCTGTAGGGCGACAATGGGCCTGGCTAGCCTTTGTACAGCCTTCACATTATCCACTACCGTGATATCCTCGATGGCTTTGATCTTGTCGGGGTTGATCTCGATCCCTTGGTTGGATACCATGAACCCGAGAAATTTACCGGAGCGACCCCGAATGCGCACTTTTCTGCATTCAGCTTCATGTTATGCTTCTTCAATATACTGAAGGTTTCCTACAAATTCTTTAAATGGTCCTCTGCTCGCAGAGACTTAACTAACATATCATCAATATAAACTTCCATGGTTTTTCCTATTTATTCTTCGAACATTCGGTTTACTAGTCGTTGGTAAATGGCACCGGCATTTTTTAATCCAAATGGCACTACGTTATAGCAGTCTATGCCATACTTAGTGATGAAAGAGGTCTTTTCTTGGTCATCCGGGTTCATCCGTATTTGGTTGTACCTGGAGTAGGCATCGAGAAAACTGAGGATCTCGTGGTCGGTCATCGTATCAATCTTGCGGTCGATGTTAGGCAAATGGAAAGAGACTTTGGGGAATGCCTTGTTTAAATCTTTATAATCCACAAACATTCTTCTTTTGTTCCCCTTTTTAGGGACTACTACTACTACGTTTGCTAATCATTCCGAGTATTTGACCTCCCGAATGGACCCTATTTTAATAAGTCTAGTTACCTCGTCCTTGATGAAGGCATGCTTGATCTCGGACTGGGGTCTCCTTTTCTGCTTTACCGGATGAAACTTCAAGTCCAAGCTTAACTTGTGAGTAGTGATCTCCGGTGGGTTCCTGTCGTATCGAGATGGGGCCAAGCAAAACAATCCATATTAGCTATAAGAAATTGAATGAGCTTTTTCTTGTGGTAGGGAGTTAACCCCGTGCCCAGAAAGGGCAGATGTTCGATCAGCACGACCTGCTCCAGCTCTTCGAACGTTGATTTAGTAGAGTCGGAATCATCGAGAGCTATAAATGATCGAGGAACCCTATAATCGTCATCTTCGTCAATCCCTTGCTTGTCCAGTTGGGTCGAGGCTGGCATCAGGGATTGCTATTTGGCTTCCTGTTTAGCTATCGAACCTAATTCCTTTGTCGATGAGAGTGTTGATATCGGAAATACTTCATCGACGTCAAACATCTCTTTTGCGGTGGGTTGCTCCCCGTAAACCGTCTTTATCCCTTCTGGAGTTGGAAATTTTAATATGTGGTGAAAGGTCGAGGGCACAACCCTCATGTTGTGGATCCATGGCCTCCCGAACAGGGCATTATACGTCATGTCCCCTTCGATTACATAAAACTGGGTCCCCTGGTTGGTACCGGTAATGTTATTTCTCCCTTAGTAGTTTCACAAGCCATGTTGAATCCGTTTAGTACTCGGGCCGCAGGTACGATTTGGTCCCATAGGCCGAGTTGCTCTACGACCCTCGATTGAATGATGTTGGTAGAGCTACCTGGATCAACTAGCACACGTTTAACTCGAGTTTTATTCATGAGTACAGAAATTACTAGTGCATTATTAGGGGGCTGCATGATTCCTTCTGCATCCTCGTCGTTGAAAGATAAAGTTCCTTCTGGTATGTAATCTCGAGTCCGTTTTTCCATTACGATTAATACTTTGGTGCGCTTTATCATCGAACCTTGAGGAACATCGACCTCTCTGATGATCAAATGAATGACGTGTTGGGGATCGTCTTGTTCATTTTATTTATTGGAATCCTTGTTTCTGAAATGATTCTTAGCTCGGTCACTTAGAAATTCTCGGAGGTGCCCGTTGCTGAATAATCGTGCTACTTCTTTTCTCAATTGTCGACAATCCTCCGTTCTGTGGCCATGTGTGCCATGATATTTTCATATTTGGTTGGGATCCCTTTGAGTTGGATCGGTTTGAAAAGGTCGATTCCATTTGGTATATTTGATGTGTCCGATAGCTGATACGATGGCTATCGCATCAACTTTAAAGTTATACTCTGATAATTGTGGTGCCTCTTTGGCTTAGGTAAGACTATCAAAGATGTTCCTGCTCATGAGCCCTCGAGAGATTTTACCTCGAGACTTCTTCTTTCATTTGGTGCAAAAATTTCCCCCAGATCCACTACTCCTACGATCTCCATTATACGGCTTATATTGATCTCTTTTCGACCTCGATTCTCGGTCAATATCCCTCTTAATTCTATTGACAGGTCTGATAGGATAAACGGACCCAGAAGGAGCCCAAGTTGATCATCCTCGACCCTGATCTTTGATTGATACCGATTATGCACATCGGCCCAAGTAACAGCCGGGTATTCTATCAAATTCTGCTTCAACTGTTGTGAAGCCACTAAGCTTCGAACATTGAGTCCTTGAGTGAAAACATGAACATCCCAATCATCAGCGACAGCTGGCAAGTCCATCTGTTCCATTTGGAATCGAGACACAAATTCTCTGAGCATTTCGTTGTCCTTCTGCCTTACCTTGAAAACGTCTGACAACCTGGTTTCTACCTTGATGGCCCCGACATGTGCTTTTACGAAAGAATCTGCAAGCATAGCAAATGAGTCAATAGAATTAGGTGGTAAATTGTGGTACCATATCATAGCTCCCTTTGACAGGGTTTCCCCAAATTTCTTTAGCAAGGCAGATTTGATCTTGTCATCCTCGAGATCATTCCCTTTGATAGCACATGTGTTAGAGGTGACGTTCTTGTTCGAATAGGTCGTTCCATTATACTTAGAAATCTCAAGCATGCGGAACTTCTTGGGGATTGGCTTTGGAGCCGCTCTCGGGGGGGGGGGGGGGGTAAGGGGGAAGGTTTTTGTAAGAACTTTTTGGAATCTAGTCCCTTCAACAGTGGCGGTGTTCCCGGGATTTGATCGACCGTGGAGTTGTAAGTTT